GCACGCCTGGCCCCACTGCACCCAGCCCCACGTGAGGCGGCAGCAATAAGTCACCGACGGTCGAGGATGGCTTTCCGGAGATCGTGGTCCACTTCACGCCGTTCTGGTGGAGACAGTTTGAGGCACAGGCAGGAGGGGCTGGGCAGGGGTTGAAACCACTACAGCACTGGATCAATCTACCACTCTTGCAATCACGTCAATTAGGAACTTATGTTTTCATTCTGACTTCCAGCCAGGAAATAATTGCCCTTTTTCCCTGCAGATCCCATGCCAACCTCAGATCAGGATCCAAGAAACCCGTGTGGGAGATGACCCATTTTTGCTGTGCTGCAGTTTTGCCTTCCCTGCACTCGGAAGGTGGGGATCCTGCAGGGTGCCTCTCGAGCACCTGGCACAGCCCCGAGCCCTGCTGCTCAGGACAGGGCTCCCCTCCCTCGCTAAGGGGAACAAGTCTGGGATTTTATACAACTCTTCTCAAGAGCATTTTGCAGCAGCCAGGGCTCAGGGGCTGTAAGCAGAGCAGGGAACCGAGGGGCACAGCAGTCCCAGAAAAGGACCTTGGCACCACGCAGGAACTGTATTTTAGCATGTTTTTGAGCCTTGCTTACAGGAAGGGAACCAGAATCAGCCCTGTTTTCAACTGTAATGACAGCAGCAGCACCCTTCAAGGCCACACAAACCACTGCATCGCAGGCAGGTACAAGACAGGACACGTGCCAGGACTGAACGCTTGCACTGGAGTCAGCTGCAGCTTGACGTACGTAGTTCTCCGATTACTCCCTGCACTCCATGAGACAGCATGAGTTACTGGAGCTGCATTTCTCCTCGGGCTGGTGCAGAAGCAGTCCACTATGTACCAGCGATCTCTTTGATCCTGTGCAGATGTAAAACATTTTTCCCCCTACCTTTTACAGAAGCAAGTTTCAACAGCTCAAGTTTCAGTGCTGCCAGTCTGTGCCACTGCCCTTGCACCTTCCCAGACTGCAGTTACTGGAACAGCCTTTAAGGGGAAGCAAAGCTGTCCTTTCAGGCTGAGCATCCTTGCGCCTCCCAGGGTGGATGCCAGCACTTCACTGCTCAGCCCGCCAGACGGTGCAGAAGGAGCTGCTCCTGGACTCAAATAACCTTCCGCAGGGATCTGCTGCCAAAAACCGTGACTCGGTGCAGGAGCAGGGGAATTCACTGGCTCACTCTAGCAGCTTTGCAGCCCAAGAGTCAGGATCCAACTTACAAGTGTTTCCTCAAAAGAGAAGCAGAGATAGAGCTGCACAAGCTCAGCCCTACAGAGAACCAGTCCAGCTGCCCTGCTTTACGCTGGGCAGTCGAGGTACAAGAAGGACTTTCCCAAGTTACAAGGAGCACCAGGACCAGCATCAGGCACAGCAAGAGCAGGCTCACACCTTCAGCCCTGCAGACAGGGCCGTGTCTCCCTGACTGCCTGGCCATGCCTATGGCAACACTCACCGTGCCAGACGTGAGGCCTCAGGGAAACATAAACATTTTTCAGCTGCTACCTTTCATACTTTCCCTGGGCTGAACACAGAGCTCCCAGACAATTCACACTGCCTTCAACTCCATGACCTTGACAGACTTTTATACATAGAAAAATAATTTTGCAGTGAAAGAAGAGGTTAGGAGAGTGAAAAAGCAGAGTTCTGATGTCAGTTATTAGGGATTCTACAGACTAGGAGGCAATCCCCCCAAAGCTCTGGGGTTTACCCAGTATAATGGCAGACAATAAAGGAAGACCCAGACCTACCTCCCACATCCAAGTCCACTTTATAGTTGATGGAATGGGTGTGTATTGTACCCAGCGTGTGCTCCCAAACCCTATTGCCGTATCTCAGACCATCCCCATGGAGAAAGGATGAGCTCGCGTACCCCGTGGCCTGGACCTTGCCTTCGATGGCCCCGTTCTGGTAGAAGATGAAGTCCCACACGTAGTCGTAGTTGCCCACGGTCGTAATGGACCGAACGACCAGAGCAGAGTTGACCAGCCCCCCGTTGTAAAGCGCCTGCAAGTTGGAGTAGTGGCGCCTCAGAGGGGAGCCCAGGTTCTGCTCAAACATGCAGAGGGCATTTTTACTAATTCTAGAGACCTGGGAATGAGCAAGGTAGTGCACATCCAGGTAGGTGGCTAAATAGGGGCAGTCGACCCCTCGCACCAAGGGGGAGGTGTAGCGCCCGATGCCAAAGCTCCCATCCATGTATCTCGTTGACATCCCTCCAGGGCAGTTGGAGCCGTAGACTGACAACGCCTCTTGGATGCTGATTTCATAGGCAACCCTCTCCCCCTTGTGTCTGATGTCAAACAGGCGCAGGCCTGTGTTCACGCTCATCCCAAAGGCAAAGCTCCAGGCCTGGAAGAGGACGTGGTTGTTCCTGACGCTGTAGCGGGGGCCACGG